CTATGAAGCCTTAAACTCCTGGCAATCCTCCTGCCTCAGGCTCCTGAATGCTGGGGTGTCGGTTATGTAGCCCCACACCTTGCTAACCATTTGGTGTCGTATATGGGGCATTTGGAAGTGTCTCGTGATCTTCTTTAAGACCTCATTGTAAATAACCTATGCGGAATCCACAGAGGGAGTGTGGGGAAATCCCGGCCCCCAACTACAGCCATGCAGTATCCAAGGTGGGGGTACGGGATAGCTCACACCCGGGTTTTCGCAGTGTGGGACGCTAGGCCATCTTCACACAGGAAGTGTGTGAACCTTGTCTTCCTTCCAGCGGTGGGTGTGGGAGGAGTGCACCACAGCCTCTGTAGTGACGGCGGAGGCACTTGGCTAAGTTAGGTGCACACATAGCCCAGGAGCAGCAGTTCCTCCAGAAATACACTTTGGGGCCCCGGAGAGGGAATGCACGCACAGGGACCAAGCTCAATGCCCAGCACTCACAGGAAGAACTAGGTGTATGACTAACAATCGTGATCTCAGCATAGAGAAATGGAGACGGGCGGATCCTTGGGGCTGGCTGGGTAGCTAGCCCAGCTGATTTGATGAGTTCCAAGCCCATGAGGATCCTGTCTCAAAAATGAGGTGGACAGCTCCCAGCGAATAACACCCAGGGTGAGACTCTGACCACACACACACACACACACACACACACACACACACACACACACACACACACACCAACATGTATGCAAGCAAACATACTGAGAAGAGAAAGACCTACCACTCCCACAGAAGTCCCCAAGTGTGATTTTGTAGCAAGGGAGAGGGTAGGTGGGCCAGCAAGGGGAGTCCTGAAGCAGTTAGGGTGACGGAAGAGACACACATGGCTGAGGGAACGTGGGGACAAAGAACCAGCTCCACAGTAGTTTTATTTGCATAAATTAAACAGACACATGCATGCATTGCATACACACAGACACACATGCATGCATACGCACACACACACACACACACACACACACACACACACATGTGCACACCCACACACATGTACACGGCGGCAGGAAGGCAGAGACCACCATGAGCATCTGAGGGTGGTTGTGGGGCAGGGGGGAGATGGGGATGGGTTAGAGAGGAAGGATGTGTGTGGTAAGGAGCCCAGCCATGTGGAGCAGCTTCCGGAGAAGATGAGGAGATGGAGGGGTAGCTGTCCAACATCTGCTTCCCACACCCCAAATTCTCCAGGGCCTGGTGATCTGTCAATAGGCCAGAGTAACCCTGGGGCTGCAAGTTCTGTTAGGTTGTGAAGTCCAGACCAGCCGGACAACTGGGGAGCACCGGGGAACTGCTGATTTAAGAAAAAGAAAATGCTCTGGACTCCACCCTCAGCACCACAAACCAACCAACCTAAACAAAATCAAGTGAGAAGAGCCAGGCACTGTCTCTGCCCTGTGGTGGAGGCTTTCCCGGCCACCCACCCACACAGCCACAGAGGTCACATTTTGGAGAGAACCCTGTCAGTATCCTTAGAGTCCCTCCAGTGCCCAGTGTGGTCCTCTCTGCTCCCACCAAGCAGAGTGCTCCCAGGCCAGGCTATGTGGAAAGAGGTGGTGGGACTCTCAGCCATGCAGGTTCTCACAGGAGGGCACTGTGGGGACAGGGACCCTGCTCAGTAGGACTACTGCTTACAGCTGAGGATGCGGCCGGGAATGGCACAAGTACACCTGGGAGTTGTGGAGGCAGGTGATAAGCCAGCCATGAGGCAACAGTGTGTGTGTGTGTGTGTGTGTGTGTGTGTGTGTGTGTGTGTGTGTGTGTGGTCTCTAAGGATGGTCTGTTGAGTGTGTGTGTGCAAGTGTGCACGCGCATGCCTGTGTGCACAGGGCCAGGTATGTGATCAAATGACACCACTGGGTAGTGCTTCTCTGATCTTGAACTCTGACCCAGCAGGCACACGTCTAGGAACAGGTTGCAAGGGCTGAGTCTGGAGCAATGGGGAGATGTGGCATGGACGTCTCCACTTGCAACTGAGCAGTGAGTAGTCTTTCTTCTTTTGTGCTTGCTGTCACCACGCTGAGACCCAAAAGCAAGGCGAGCAAGCACTCTTGGCTGGAGCCATATGCCCACCTGCCCAGCCTCTCTGCTGATGTCTGTAATGAGTGTGTAGAATCCCAGAGCTTGGGCACCCAGCCATTTAACTAGTCTCTTCTTGATGACAAGAATACTATGCTTTCAACAAACCACACTAGGCACCAGGCCTGTTGGTTTATGCATTTAGTCTCAGCACTTTGGAGACAGAGTTCAGGGCCAGCTTGGGACACATAATGAAAATCTATTTCAAAAACCATAAACCAAGCCAAAGCTAGTGGCACAGGCCTGGCATCTCAGGCCCTCAAATAGGCAAGATGACAAGCCTACAGTGTGCCTGGGTTATAGAGTAGGTTCAAGGCCAGCCTGGGCAACTGAGTGAAACCCTGTCTCAAAACAGAAAGTGAAAAGAGGGTCGGGGACATGGCCAGTGGCAGAGACCCTTCCTAAAATCTCCCAGTGTGTTTGGGGTGGCTGTGGCTTAGCGGTAGAGCACCTGCCTGGCATGTTGGAGGCCCTGGGTTCCCTCCCCAATACTGCAAAACAAAAGCCCAGCAATGACAGCTGAGAAAACGCTCCTGGCTGCACCATCAGGTGCCAAAACCCATCCTCGAGGCAACATTAAACACCGTGGCTCTGGATTCTGGAAAGAAAGCAGGCTGAGGCCATGGCTGAGGGGAAAAGCGATTGATGCACACGCAGGAGGAGCAGCATTCGAGCTCCAGCACCAATGGAAAAGCCAGGCGTGGTGGTGCACATCTGTAACCCCAGCACTGGGAAGGAAGACAGGAGGATCCCTGAGGCTTGCTGGCCAGTCAGCCTAGTGGTCTGTACCCTCCAGTTCAGAGAGAGACCCTGCTCCAAAAAAGGGTGGAGCGTGATCATGGAAGACACCTGACATCTACCTGTGGCTTCCACCTGCACGTACACAACACACACACACACACACACACACACACACACACACACACACACACACACACCGAAGCAAAGGACCTTCCTGCTAGCCAGGCAGGACCCTGAGTATGTGCTGGGACATCGGCTTGGGAACTCCAGATGGGAAGGAGAGCTATCTGAGCCTGTGGGGTAGCTTTTGTCTCTGTATGTTTATCTAAGTGTATTTTCTAGTTTTCCTGAATTAATTTGTATTCATTCTGTAATAAATAATTAAAAGATACATTTACATAAGCCCAGAAAGGTATGAAAACAAATGTAAACAGGAGTTATTTATATCTGGGTGGTGGGATGTGATGATTTTTTAAAAACATGGATAATTAAAACCATTACTTTTTTTCTTTTGTTGTGTGCTGGTTCGTTGGTTGGATTTGACACATGGTCTCTCTGTGGCCCAGACTGGTCTGGAACTCACTATGTAGCTCAGGGTGGCTTTCATGGTTATCCTCCTGGGATGCGAGGTGTACAGCACCATGCCAAGCCAGCATTGCATCTCTTGCTCCTGCCACCTTTCTGCTCTGGATCTCAGCTTTTATGGAAGACCAGCAACTTCTACAGCGGAAACAGAGCCCCTAAATGGTGACTAATGAGAATGTTCTGATTTCTACTGTGATGCTTCATTCTTTGATGATGTCCATGTTGTGGCAAAGGGTCTTCCCCTAGTGAGGGGCATAAACAGCCCAGCAGAGGCTGCAGCTGCAGGGATGTGGGTGCAGACTTGCAGCCAACTGGCAGAAATGGTGACGTATAGCCTGTTCAAGGAGGCAGCTGGCGAGGTGGGCTTGGATAGACAGAGATAGCCCCAGGAGCATTGGGTGGTGGCACTGGGTCTCAAGTTTCTCTAGTTCACCCATCCTTGCTTCCCAGCCACCCAGAAAGGGTCTTCTGCCCCCCTCAGGGCTTCCATTCTTCCCAGAGTCTAGCTCCCCAGGAGAGTTATGTGGGACTGCTGACCCCTCTGCTGAGGACTGGGGGTCTGGGACCTTCTGTGAGGGTGCCCTCCTCTCTCCCATCTGTATGAAATGGGTACAAAGCAGTCTGTGTGAGGACTTGGAACTGACTAGATGCCTTTAAAATGGTGGCCTTCAGCCAAGTATGGTGGTCCACAACCGTAATCCTAGCACACAGGAGATTGAAGCAAGACAGTCACTGCAAGTTGGGGACAATCTGGGCTACAGAGCAGGTGTAAGGTCAGCTTGAGCTATGGAAAGACTTCCAAACCAGTTGGAGATGCAGAGTGAGACCCCGACCTTATCTCAAGCAAACAAACAAACAAAACAAACAAACGAACAAGTAAATAAGAAAAGCAAAACAAACCCCAAGAAACAGCCAACAACAAAGGGCTCACTCTAGTGAGCCCGGCATCTGATGACAGCTGCAGATGTTTGGAAAGAAGTGGCCAGAGCTGCGAGCACTCTGCAGCACTCAGGACAGCTCCACCTCAGCCTCCGGTTCCAAATGTCACACCGCAGGGGTGGGAGGCAGAGCCCAACAGCCCCCTCTGCCACCAGCACAGCCCCAGCCCCAGTGCACCAAACAAAGACAGCTAAAGTCATCTGCAGCTCCTACTAACTCCTATGCCAGTGCCAGCCCTATACCCTCGACCCCTTGGTCCCCATCATTCATCCAGCTAGCTCCCCAGGACCGGAATGAGTCCTCACTTTCTAGAAGAAGGTACTGAATCTTGCTGGGAGATGCCATCTCGGGCCAACAACAGCAAGGGGGAGGTGGAAGGGCCTCTCCTGACCACCTCAAAGCAACCTGTCCTGTGGTGTGAGGGCGTGGCAGACACCCCAGGAAAACGCACACAGGCTGGAAATACATCGTAAAGGTGGGCAGGACGACGACGACGACGCGAGGAGCTGATGCGCAGGCGCCAGGAACTCCAGGATGAGAGGGATGGGAAGGGAGGCAGAGGCTTATACCCTTTGTGCTCTGACCCACGGGCCAACCAGCGATGGAGGCGGGCTCACCTGGATGCTGTTCTCTTGCAGGTTCAGGTAGCGGGTGTTGACAGGGATGCTAGCAGGAACCTCGGCCAGCTCCCTCCGCGTGCAGATCACCCGGCTGGCCTGGTTGCTGCAGGAGCAGGCTGCTGGGCAGGAGGTGGCTGGCGGGGAGCCTCCTCCAGCGGCTGAGGTCACGGCCACACCGCCCCCACCGGCCCCCAGGGGTGGGGAGAAGAGCCACAGGAGCAGGAGAGCCCCGTGGGGCCAGGACATCCTACCAGGCGGCAGCAGGGGGCACGGGGAGCCACGGGTGTGGGCTTGCGCCATCCTCAATGTTCATACTCTGAGGGCACGCTGGGGGGCTGTGGGAGGAGAGAGGGTGTTGGTCAGTAAGCGGCCGGGACTCTGGTTGCCCTGATTCACCCGCGAAACTCTGCCAGAAGCCCTCACCCCTGCTCGCAACCAAAGGTTTAGGGACCTGGCCTGCCTGTGCTGGGCCCATCTTCTCCTGGGCCATTCTGCAGAACGGATAGCTGAGGCCAAGAGAGGACATTTGCGCCCAAGGTCACTTGGTCAGTAAATAGCAAAGTCAGCTAGATTCAAACTTAGGTGTTACCAAGCCTGGGATGCAGGGCTGCCTTCTTAGGGGCTCAGGAGGCAGAGGCAGGAACACTGAAAGTTCCAGGTTAGCTTGGGCAATGCAGTGAGTGAGACCTTGCTCAAAACTAAAAAGGCAACATGTGGCTGAGTGATAGAGCCCATTCCGAGTGTGTCCAGGGCCCTTGGCTCCATCCCCAAGGCTTTAAAAAAAAATGTAAATGGTGTCTTTGCATTGATTTCAGTTAGACAGGTAAGGATGTAGAGATGGAGGGTCAGACGGACAGTGAGGCAAAGCCTCTGCCAGGTGAAGCACAAAGCTAACCAACTCCCATCACACCCAAGCAGGTCCCCTGGGGTGCAGCCTCCACCCCTCCACCCCCTTCCCTACATGTCTCCTCCCAGGTGTCACGCACCAGCCTGTATGGGTTTTTATTCCTGAATAGGTCTATATTCCCTCCTTCCCACCCCGGGGTCCCCCTCCCTCCTCTCAGGCCCTATCCTGTCCTAGACTAGGAGGAGAGGTGATTGAGAGAGGGTAGGAGGTGGCTGGGCTTCTGGGAGGAGGTGGGAGGCTGCAGGGCACCCTCACTCGGTGGCAGCAGAGTTGGAGACCACAGCAGTGCCCCCCCCGTGCCTCAAGATTGCAGGGACTCTGCGAGAATTCGGCCTGTGGTGGGACCTGTGCCAGCGACTGTCGCAGGATGGGGCTGAGGGAACTGACGGAGTGGGAAGGGGCAGTGGGGACCCCATGTCACGTCTGCGGTATGGGGAGTCGGCATCACTGCACCCTTCCAGCCTGTCCCTTGCTTTCCTGAGCCCCAGCTGGGAGGGACTCAGGCTATCCAAATGGCGGGCAGGGAGGACAGTACCTGCAGCCAGCACAGCGGGCGCCCTTCCTATGCCTCGGCCGGCAGGCCGGCCGCCTGTGGAGGGCGGAAGCTGCTGGAGTGTGCGCCAGGCCATCTCAAGGCCCACTGGATGGCAGAGGGGGTTTGGCCTCAGGACTCGCCCTCTGGCTTTCAATGTCCCCCTCCACACAGTGTCCCCCGAGTGCTCACACTCATAGAGTCCCCATGAGACAGGAAGGGGGGTCCCCATAAACACGATACCCACCCACTCACACAAACAGCAGGGACAGACACACCCTCGCACATGGCCTCTCCAATCCATGGACACAAGGCTGTCGCCCCCCCCACGCAGGTGCGCATGAGCACACACACACACACACACACACACTCCTGCAGCCTCCAAGATTTTAACCCAGATAGAAATGTGTGTGCCGCTGTGTGTTTGAGCAAGTGTGTGAAGGCAGGAGATGGAGACAGAGAAGAGATGGAGGCAGAGATAGGGAGAGACAATGAGAGACAGACCAAGAGGCAGTGACAGAGATGTGAGCGCCATAGAGACAGACCAGAGATAGAAGGAAAAAAAAAAAAGGACAAAGGCAAAAACCAGGACAGAGATAGACAGGGACCGTGACAGAGACTGTCACAGAGAGGCAGAAACAGAGAAATAGATGAAGAAAAGAGAGACAAAGATGGAGAGATGACCCAGGAACAGAGACAGACAGAAGCAGAGAGGCGGAGACATGAGGACAGAAGCATAGACTGAGCTGAGATGGCCGGACACAGAGACAGAGGCACCCCGCCTCAGGACTGGCCACCAGGCCCTGCCCCACACTGGCCTGTCCCAGCAGGGGCTATGGGGTCTTTGTTCCCACACGTGTGGCCAGCGAGCCTTCTCCTCAGTCCCCCCTGGGTCCACTGTCCCCACTTCCTGAGACTCTGGCTATGACCAGCCCATACCCTCTAAGCCAAGGATCCGGTGCGGTGCGGTGCTCACTGAGCCCACCATCCCCCAGGCCAGCACCCGGGTCTCCTCCCCCACCAAGACTGCCAGCGCACACCCCATCAGGGCTTCTGCAGCGGCTCCCTCCTTCCCCTCCCGCCTCGCCTGCCTCCATCTCCTTGTCCTTGTCTCCCCGCTCCCAGAGCACACACACTGAGGGACACTCACCCTGGTGGCTTGGCTTCCGACGGCCTCCTCTCTGTGCCCCAGGCCCCCCCTCCACATGGCTGCGGTTGCCCCAAGCCAGGCCCTGCCACCCCAGCTTCCTGCTGCTTCCCGCTGAGCTTGTGCTGGGGGGGGGGGGGGCGCAGGGGCTTCTTGGGTCTCCCTGCACCCCCCCCTCGTCTGTCGCCCTTCCCACCCTCTAGGGGAGCCCGGCCTTCTTCTCTTGACCACCACACAAGCAAGCCCTTGCCTCCTCCGGTCCTGTGCCCTCCACTTTAGTCCCCCCACACCAGCTTCCTTTCTCTCCACTCGAAGACCCAGCTTCTGCCCCTCTCCCCAGCTCCCCGACTCTGTCTTGCCTCGCCGAGGACCACTGGACCCCTTGTCTGTCTGTCCTCCTCCTCACTGTCCCCGTCACCCTGTCATTGCCGGAAGCCTGGCTCAGCCAGGTTTCATCTGTCTGTCTGTCTGTCCGTCTGTCCTGGGGCCTGCCTCATCGTCCCTCGCCCAGCTCTGCCTCTCTTCCTTTCTCTGCGATTACAATTTCTAGTCACACGGCAGTGCAGAGCCCAGCTCGCTCCCTCCCCACCCCCTCCCTCCTTCTTTCTCTCCTTCCAGCGGGGAGGGCGCTCCCTCCCTCCTTCCCTCCACCCTCCACCCTCACTCAACTCCCCCCTCCCAGCTAGCTCGGCCAGGGGGTGGCCTCCCCCTCCCCCGCTAATCAAAGGCTCCGTTATCTAATTAACCCGTTGGTTCTGGGCAGTCAGGGAAGGTCGGGGGGGAAGCGGGGGAGGAAGGTTGGCGGCTGTGCTGCCAGGGGAGAGGGGTTTGGACTGTGCCAAGCTAGAGCCTCGTGGCACACACACACATACACACACACAGCAGCCTCAGCTGCAGAACCAGGCTGGGCTGCGTGGACTCCATGCCGCTGAACCAAGATGTCCCTCCTGCATCCTCAGGGTCCATCCTGGGTTCAGGCACCCATGTATCTGCCTAGGACCCCTACTACCTCATATAGTCAACCCCATTTCAATATGCCACCCAGCCTATGCCAGGCAACTTAGGCCCAGGTCACCATCACCCTGTCTTTCAGCTGGGGCCAGCACTCATTCTTGCCACAAAGAAAACTACCCCTGATCCCCCCATTCTACCCTGCCTCAGCCACAGCCTAACACCCACCTCCTGGTGCCCTCTGCAGAACAAGCTGGGAAGCTGCACTCTGCTTATTCACTTCATGTATCCCTTCATCTATCCACTCCTCCTTCCATCTGTCCATACATCCATCCATCTACCAATCATGTACCCACCCATCCATCCACTCATTCATCTGTATATCCACCATCAACCATTTCTCCATCCATCCAATCCATATATCTACACTCTACTTATCTATCATTCCATCCACTCATCTATATATCTATCCTTCCATCCACCTGTCTATTTCTCCCTCTTTGTCCATCTATCCTTTTATACATCCATCTTTTCTTCTATCCATCCATCCATCCATCCATCTGTAAATTCACCTATCTATATATCCACTCATCTATCCCTTTAGCTATCTTTCCATTCTTTATCCATCCATCAACCATCCATTTATCATCTGTTCATTCATCCATTTGTGTCTCTAATCATCCCTTTATGCATCATTCATCTATTTGCTCATCCCTCCCTCCCTCCCCCCTCCCTCCCTCCACCTCTTTGTCTCCTCTTGTCTAGCATCCCTCCCTTCTTCTTGTCCTCTATCTAAAACCAATTTCTGAAGCCCCCACTATATGCCAGGCACTGAAGCAGATGCCAACAAGTACTTATGCATGGGTACAAGGCGGTTAGTGCTCTGGGAAGGGGCTCTGGGTTGGGCCTTGAATCTGCCTTTTCCCACATGGCCTTTCTGAGTTCTGGTGTCCTCCACTATGAGGAGGCCAATAGAGGCCACCTCCCGGAGTGGTTGGAGGTGGGAAAGAGTGGTGTACTGAACACAGGCTCTCCTGTCTCGACACTAGAAAGCCCACAGACAACTCAGCTCATGCTAAGCTAACTCCTGAACTGGCCACCACCTTGCTCCTGCCTGGACTTCCTATGGCTGTCCTCCATGTTGTGTCTGGATCCACGGGTGGCCAGAGGGACCCTGTTAACACAGCAACCAGATCCCACCCTTCACTGCTTAGGGCTCTCCAGTAACCCCTGAATCACACAGAAAAGCAGAAGAGCCTCTGCTCTGACCTCACTGGGAGGGCTGAGCACCAGCCTGGGGCGGGGGCTTTGTGGCTGCTCTTCACTCTGCCTGCATCCCTCCACCATGCCACATTCTCAGTGGATGATGGTTGGTGCGTTTCCTTTCTCCCTCTGTTACTGCCACTTAACCTCAGACCATATCTGCTGGAAAGCACATTCACCAGGAGCTGGGGTCACATCTGCTTTGGTCTCTGGTTTTGAGACCCGTGGCAGAGTCTGGTGAGGGAAGGGATGGACACACTGCTATGGATACTTGGCTGTACACATTTTCTGTTAGGTTACATCTCTGCTTCTTGTCACAGACACACCTGCTAACCATTCCAGGGACACTCTAAGAGTTGCTCAAGTCAGACACACCATCCTGGGACATCCCTCCACCTGAGGTCTTCACCTGTCCCCAGGGAGGTCACTGCCTTTGGCTGAACACCTGTGTCCCATGTCCCCCCTCTCTCCCTCCCTGCCATAGTGCCATCTGGTTGGCTAGATTCTGTGTGCCCCTCCAAATAACTTGTCACTAGGGGCGTCTCATCTTTGCTTGGAACCAGAACCTGCCCATGGAGCTACTTGCTGGCCAGACTGGTGCAGATGAAGCATGGGCTAGATGGTTTTCTGAGCGTAGACCTGAGCTAGTTCCAGGCACAGGCTCCATTAGAGCAGGCTCAGCACATAGCAGCATCTCTACACATTACCAGCACGAGTACCACACCCTTCTGCAGGGTTTCTTGAGGAAAAAGCTGTTCTCCAGACAGCAGCCCTCTAAGAACTGCTGGCATCCCCATTTCATAAACAGGAGAACTGAGGCCCGGATAGGTCTAGACACTGGCTCAAGGTTGACTATAGAGGTGAGAAAAAAAACCAGGCACAGAGGCATAGGCTTGTTATCCTAGCTATGCAGAAGCTGAGTAAGAGGATGGCAAGTTCAAGCCCAGCCTGGGCAATTTAATGAGATTCTGTCTCTAAAGAAAAAGAAAAAAAGAGGGCTGGGGGCGTAGCTCAGCAGTAGAGCTCCTGCCTAGAATCCCCCAGTGAGGGGCTGGGGTATGACTCAGTGGTAGAGCCCCTGCCTAGAATCCCCCAGTGAGGAGCTGGGGGTGTGGCTCAGTGGTAGAGCCCTTGCCTAGAATCCCCCAGTGAGGAGCTGGGGGTGTGGCTCAGTGGTAGAGCTCCTGCCTAGAATCCCCTAGTGAGGAGCTGGGGGTGTGGCTCAGTGGTAGAGCTCCTGCCTAGTCTGCAAAAAGCCCAAGGTTCCATTTCAAGTACTGCCCATACATACATACATACATACATACATACATACATACATACATACACACACACACACACATACATGCACATATATATCTGGAATGATAGCTCCATGGGTAATGTGCTTCTTAGTTCACTTGCCAGAAGCAATGTAAACAAGCTAGTCTTGGTGGTGCACTTGTAACCACAGTACTGAGGATGTGGAAACAGGATCCACGGGCTTGTCAGTCAGCCAGCCTAGCCAAACAGGTGAGCTCCGGGGCAATGAAAGACCCTGTTTAAAAACAAGGTGTGTGAGGTTGATGAGATGGTTCAGTGGGTAAAGCTGCCCCAGCCAAGCCCGAGGATCTGGGTTTGATGGAGAGAGAGAACAGACTCCTGCAAGTTGTGCTGACCACATGTGCGTGCACACACAAAATGATAAATATGTAAAAAAAAGGAAAACAAAAAACAAAAACAAAATCCATAGTGCAGATCTGAGGAACACCAAGGCTGATCTCTGGCCTTCACAGGTCTCTCTCTCTCTTTCTCTCTCCCCTCTCTCTCTCTTTCTCTCTCCTTTGTCTCTCTCTCCTCCTCTCTCTGTCTCTCTCTTACACACACACACACACACACACACACACACACACGGCCTCCAAGTTGGCCCAGACCACCTATTTGGCTAGGCTGGCTTACTGGCAAGCCCATGGATCCTTCAGGAGTCATGGGATTCTGGAGACCACAGTAATAAGTCCCACAGAGGTCACTGAGGTGTAGACTGACCAAGTAGTCAACCAGGAACCAGCTCCAGCCCTCTCCATCCTTCCTAGTCCCAGGGCACTCAACACAGCCTACTCCTCCAGCCCCTGGGGGATCAGCCATGGTCTCACTCCCAGGTCACAGGTGATGTAGACCCAGAGGGGTCAGAGACACTGGCTATGGCCAGGCAGGACTGTGACTAGGGATCAGGCCTTGGCCAGGCCTTGAATGGGCAGAGGCCGAGAAGCAGAGACGCCAGACAGCTGGGCAGAGTGGAGTGGGGCCGAGGACAGAGACAAGACACCCCAAGAGTCCAGGTGCTCAAGCCAGGTGCTAAGTCCTCATCGACATTGCTGCCCACCCAGCCCAGCTTAGGGATACATCTTGGGCACAGTGCCGGAGAGGATTCGGGCAGATGGCAGATCGGAAACTCCGGGCCCAGGGGAGGCGGGGTGAGGAGAAAAGGGAGGCAGGAAGCATTCCTGTCAGCCACACTTGTATGCCTGAGTAAGTTCATCAGGTGAGGACAAGAGGAAACTGTCTGCTGTGTGGTAGCAAGGGCGGTGGAGGTCAGAGCTAAAAGGGGACTTCCCCACTCTGACAGGTGGGCAGAGCAGTGCCACAGCCTGGACAGCTGAATACTTACTTCTCCCCTCCCGGGACAGCAAGCATCAGCAAGGCTGGGGAGGGGGAAGGAGGCATAGGCTCAGGGTGGAAGGAAGGAAGGGAGGGAGACGGGTCCCTGTCAGCCACTCTTGTGCCTGTCCTCAGGGCTCTCACAGGAAAAGTGAACACACAACCCTGAGCATGATGTCCTCTTAGCTAAGAGCAAAGGATCCTTGAGAAAAGGGCAGAGCAGAGTCCTGGGTGCCCAGGGCCTCTCAGGTGTCCCCAGCACAGCTAGTGTCTGTGGTACACAGCGGTGGCCTGTCAGCAGCAGGGGCTGTCTTCCCTCCAGAGTCATGGGGTGGGCCTGGCTTTGCCCTGCTTTCCCTGCTTCTTGGTCTCTGATCTCCCCCAACTCCGCTCTCTGTTCTGGTGACATGTCACCAAGCTTCTGGATGTGGCAACTTCCTGGTCTTTTAGCTGTCTGTCTCCCACTAGAAGGTGACAGAGACCAGATCCCTGAGTCTCACAGTCCCAACCTCTGCTCTCATGCTGGCATCTGGGTGTATACTACTGAGAACAGCAGGACAGGGCTACACCACACTGGATCACACAAGGGTATGAGCTAGGGAGGGTCAGGAGTGTGCAGGAGCGGTCTCCTCTAGTCAGGTAGGGCTGGCCTGTCACAGTAGAAGCCCAGAGACCCGAGGCACAAGCCAGGAGGTAGTGATGAAGGAG